GATCGGCATTGTTTACACCTGCCTATTTCAGATGAACTTAGTAGAATGCAATCACGTATTTGTTTTGTTTATCAATATGGTGCTATGATACGGAGAAGAGACTAGTGCCCCTGTTTAAGAGATACCCGATTCTAGTTACTTGTTTGGAACGAGTCTTTAATAATAAAGTAAAGCTTTACAATTGAGATATATTGATTAGTTGCAATTAGTATATAATTTTTAATGCCTGGCATAGGCTTTAATTGTGCATTTTCTGTTTTTATTTTCTTCTATTCGTATATCAGAATTACATAGTCCTTTTTTTTGCTTTTTTCATCTTCGTCCATTTATGATGTAACTATATTTAGGACTTACTGTTTTCATATATGTTTTTTTTTCTTTTTGTCTTTGTCTTTCTTTTCCTAGATTTTGTTTTTCTTTCATAGACATGGTATATATTTTTTTCCCTTATAGAAAAGTAAAAGATAAGCTATTCTGCTCGGATCTAGATAGAAAAAGTTTTAAAGAAAGGATTGTAGTCTTGATGGGCTAGTGGGGCCTTCTGTTGATATTTTATTTCACTTGCAGGAGAGAATATTATGGAGAAAAACTCTGCTTATAGCAGGTCACATATGGGTAATTTAAACTTTGATCACAAAGAGCCGGGTGAGCTTTTATTTGTAATTTAGATGCTGTAAGGATTTATCCTTCTCGTAAAATGTAATATTTCTTAGTATAATATTATACAGTCTAATAAAATAAAAGCAAGACTGCCAAATTGATTAAAATATATATATATATATTTATTATTATTTGCATTATTAAAAAACAGTAGGCATTAATGATATCAAATTTGAGCCAGAATCATCAAAAAATTTTATACCAAGTAAACTTGGATTATCAGAACATATAAAGCAAACTATAGACTTATATAATTGCCAGATTTTTATATCAATAATGAGTGAAAAAGATAGCTAAAATTTATTTTCTTCATATGTAGATTATAATGCAGGAACACCAATAATCAATATATGCCATATTTGATTAGAAAGGATTTATAATGGGTATTTTTCTGCTAAACTCGGTTGGATTGTTGTTGGGCTACTTACAAACTTTGATTTCAACTTAAAATGTTATTTATTAATGCTTAAGTGCAGAAAATGTAAATTTTTTAAAAAAGAAAACCATATTATTAAAGAATTTTTCAACAAAACTTTAAATAGTCAAGAAACTTGCATATTGGGAACTTGTAAATTAAATGCAAAAAATAATTTTTCTAAATTAAACTCAAAATCGACTACAAATTTAATCTCATACAATTCAATAAATGATAAAATTATTTATAGTATTCACTTTATGCCTTATAATAGGTCAGCAAATATGCTTGCTTATTTTCTTGAAAATAGTGAAGAACTTCAAGAAGTACAATTATTTTTGCAAGAAGTGATATTATCTTTTTGGTAAGTAAAATTTCTTTTTTTGATATTTCGATTTTTCATCTTAAATTTGATATTTACAAATTAAAACACATGGCAGTATTATTAATAGCTATTCACAAAGATACCAATTTGGTCAAACCTTTGTTAATTGGCTTGCTAGAGGAAGAAATTATGTATCAGAAATACTCTATAATGAAAATATTGACTCTAAATTTCTAATTTTAGTGAATTAACTTTTTATCAAGTGTACTAAAAATTGCCAACATCATGGATTTGTTTATGTTAAATCCAAGAAGGTTGTTTATGGATCTTTAAACTCACATTTATCTTATTCTTGTAGTGAAAGAGTCTCTTATCTTTATTATATAGCAGAATACAGTAATAAAAACATTAAAAGTATTAAAAACAAGAGATCTTATAATTTTTCAGAATAGTAGCTAGTATTATTATTATAATTCAGTATTTACTATATTTTTCACTTATAATATTGTATAAGATTTTGAATTTTTTTAATTTTTAAAATATTTTAAATTTGTTAATAGAAATTTATTATATTTCAAAAAAAAATCATACAATAGATTATTATTTTATAGTTTTAATTCCATAAATTGAATTTGTATAAATTAATTTGTTTCGCAGTGAATTTAATAAATTGGACAGCCAAGTGCCATAGAGAGGCCATGTAATAACAATTATTAGCCCATTATATTCTAAGGCTTCAAAGTTATATTATGTCTTGTAAATTGTTTTGACTCTTTTAAATATTAAATCTTTGTTTTAATCAAACTGTTAAGTTATTACTCCCTTCTGCTTACACTCTGTATTGAGTCTAAGATCAAAGCAATAATAATATTATCTTTTGTATAATAGTAACTTTGCAAATCCCTATATTTATACCTTTAACCCAAGTATCTTGGAATTTACCAAGCCAATTTGGATGATTTAACTATTGCTAGAATTAGAAAAATCTTTTTTACAAGATTTTTTTAGAACTGGAAGAGATCTTTACTTAGTAAAATCTTTTTAATTTTAAAAGATTGCTTTAACCAATCATATTATTGTTTTTAAGTAAGTTAGTTATTTGACTTAAAGAATATAGAAAAGAATTGAACAACTTTAGTCTAAGATCTTTTAAAACTACTTGGTATTTAGGTTTATAATTTTTGTTAAAAAATTATTAAATACTAAAGAATATACTATAAGTCTTATATTTAAAATTATTTTTTATATTTACTTTTTTGAGTAAATTATTTTTATATATAAATTTGGATGAGTTAACTCATTTAATTTATATTTAATAGCAACCAAGAGGACATGTCTCATGCTTGTTAACTAAATTTAAATTCTAAATTTTGAATACAGTTAATAAAAAAAATTATATATAATAATTATAGGATTTAATTCAAAAAACTTATATATATTATTCTAATATGCTATGTATTTTAATAATAATAAGTTGATACTAATACTTATATCTTAAATACTGTTTAATATCATAGTATTAAACTGTTAGATAGATAGATTAGTAGATATAAATTACAAAGTATATAAGTAGCATTATTGTTTATTAATTATATGGGTTAAAGATTATTTATAAAGATTGTCAACTTAAAGTGAAATATAATTATTGTTTAAAAAAGTAAAACTTCGTTAATAATAAATAAATATGTAGTTAGTATTCGATTAGTTTAATTGGTTAATAATCATGTTTATTGTTTACATTTATTAACCAATCAAATCGAATGTCTGCCATGCTTAACTCCGCAAAGCAGTATATAATTAAGTTAGCATAAAGTTACAAATTTGAAAGTACGAGGTTTATTTGTCCACTATCTGCCATTCTTGATAGCCTTTCGGTGATTTCTTGCATGTTGATGAATTTGCTTGTATACATGTAATTCAGTTGTTTTTGTGCAATGATCAGTAGTTCCTTGACTGTCTTATCAGCTTCTATGAATTGATTTTTGATTTCATTTATTTTATCAAAATCTCTAATGCTATTACCCCATTCATAAAGTTTATTCCAAATCTCTTTGACAGTGGGCCTTTTTTGCGGATTAGGATTCATGCATCGATTTCCCAATTCAATATAGTAATTAGGAGTTCCAAATGCGAATTCTGGTCGCAGCCCTTTACAAATTTTTATTGAAAGACCAACGTCAAATTCATAACCATCGAAAGATTGTTGTCCAGTTGATATTTTTGTCATGATAATTCCCAACGAATAAACATCTGCTGCTTGTGTAAACTTCTTTCCTGACAACACTTCGGGGGCGATGTAAGGCAAGACACCAACGATTACTTTATTTTTCTTTTTTATAGATGAAGTAAACCCTAAATCTGCAATATATGCATTGTCTATATTACCTTGTAAAATGTTTCCACTATACAAATCTCTATGAACATATCCTTGCAAATGGATTGCTTCAAGGTCAGCAATTATGCATTGTAATATCTTTATTTTTTTTTCCTATCCCATTTGCATTATTTCATAAAGATTATTATTTAAAGATTTCTTCTTTGCATATTCTAGTACAATAATATAGTTCTCTTTATCATTCCTCGATATTCCATAATATTTCAAAAACGATAGATTCACAGTTCCAATTTCACAATATAATTTTAATTCTTCAATAAAACTTTTACTATCATATGAATTAAGCATTTTGAGAATGACAGGTATATTTAAATTTTGACTTTTATCAAACCAGCGCACATAGTATACAGTTGCGAATCCCCCTTTTTCTATTTCTCTAATATCCTCAAATTCATTATAAGGGATCTATAACAATTGATATTTATTTTCGATCAATATCTTTTTTAAGTCATCGTCACTAGCATCAAATTTTTTATTTTCTTCCTCGCATATGACTAGGAAAAAATATTAAAATACAATAATAAAGTTAGCACTATGAATACTCATCTGTTATAAATTTGTTCATTATATTTATTTAAGTTATTTATTGTGGCTACTTAAACTGGGATTTCTTAAACTGGGGTTTTAACCTATTTTAATATAAAATTTGAGATCTTTTTTTGCCAGCTTTTTTAGAGTTGGATTATGTTTAGAGTTAGAGTTATTAATAAAAGAGTACAGATGAATTTTAGTAGGTATTATATACAATATCTTAATGAGGCCCCAAATCACATAGCAAGCAAGTCCAAGTATA